AGTATACACAAATCTGCCCATTTACCAAAATTGCACCATACCGTGCTGCTAAGGCACGATTGTTCCCCCTCCCCATTCCCCCACTGGTCTGCACTCACACTGCTCCAGGACTAACCGGGCCTGAGCATGGTTACCTCTTGTACATAACGTTGTCATACAACACATGCATGGCTTTAAGTGATCATGAAGCGTGCTTAGTTTACAAGACAGACGGACTAAATAATAATAATAAAATGGACATGCAGTTGAGTCTGTGTCCGCACATCGAGAACAGCACAGAGAACATGACGGCTACTTTACTGACTTTGAGGCTTATTTTGACTCATGTAAGTCGGGTAAGCCATAACACTTTCCTCAGTAATGGAGATGTTGTGTAGCAGTGCTTTTGTTTAGGCTTGAGCCTCTGTTCATGCTCAGGTGGACACTCGATGAACTGCAGGTTTTTTGCACTTCTGGAGGATGCTGCTTGGTTAAATCATAAAAAATGTGCCCTGTCAGCTTCTTTTTCCTGCCAACATTTCTCTTGTTTGTTTCTTTATTGAGGAAAGGAAAACATAATAAAAACTCTTGCTTACTGTCGACCATGGTGCTTTTAGACACGGTCTGACAGTTTGTGCAGGAGCAATCAGGAAATCAATCAATGAAGTTTGGATGACCAACATTTTAAACACGCCAGAAATGCATTCGACTGATCGGGTCATGATCAAACGTTGTGCCCCCTGTATACTGCATGACAGACGACGCACAATCAGGCTGAAATTCCACTTGACTTCAACCGTGCTGCTCAAAGGTTGGGTCTAAATCTGTCAGAGATTGTACAATAGAAATATATCCAAATTCAGGTCAATCCAAAACATATTGTGATCTTTCCTCCTCGACCAAAATCGATGATTGAACCTGAAATGCTTCTGACTAGAGAAGGACAAACAAGTAGAGCTCGTACAGCGGGGTCTATAAGCCAAGCTTTCAAATCATGTCAAAGATTATTTATATGTTTTTAAGAAGAGAAGATCTGCTCACTGCACTCATACATGCCAGCCCTGTGATTTGAAAGAGCGACATTTCAATCTGCCCCTTATGCACAGAAATGGGAAGAAGGATGATGATAGACAATTAAAGGATAGTGTTTGTGATGTACATGAAGCACTAATCCTCCGTCTAGACACAGACTGATAGGCTGTAGGTCCTGACTTCACTGCCTCTCTCCCTCTCTCTCTCCCTCCCTCTCGCTCTGCATGATGTCACCGTGCAGCAATGAGGTAGAGTGGATGCTTTTTGTTGTCTTTGTCACCAGTTTTAAAAGATATAGCAGATAACCAGTCTCCAGTCTGAATGTCTCAGACTGGAGACTGGTTATCTGCCGCCTTTTTGGCCGACGCTCACAGCCTGAAATATTCTTCTTTGTGTCTACATAGTTTTAATGTGTTCCTCCCTGGAGCATCATTCCTTATTCACACACACACATGCATGCACACACACTGACACATCCGAGGAGCTTCTCATTACAACACACACTCCCCTTCCTGATGGACACTGAGCAGCTTCACTGGAGCAGACAAGTGCCTTGCTTAAGGGGACTTCAGTTTTTAGATGAGGTCAGATGAAACTTTAGTGATCCCTGTGGAGATGTCAGGTCATTAGAGCAGCCGAGAATAAGAATAGCTCGGATAGAGTACACTGGGAGGAACAGTTTGAGCAGGGTGCTCTCACATTACAGCACACATTAAACAGTGTTTTAGATGATGTACAAGAGACAGAGACTTGAGATAGAAGATAGACAAGAGTCCCATCGATGGCGGTCTCCATGCTGGAAATGCTGTCTCAGTCTAACTTTCAGTCAACCCAACGACAGGCTGAGAGCTGGAGCTGAGGCGGGTTTTAAAACTCCTGACAAACCGTCACACCGCGCCCACCTGTCAATCAGGTCAGCTACACGCCTTATTGTGAATAACTCTTATCCTTCATCAAATCAAAACTGATGAGTCATCAAAACATTCACCCCCCGTACATTCAAACCATCCCCGTCTGACAGGAGTCTCTCTGTGAGGAGGTTCCTGGTTTGAATCCCCGTCTAACAGGAGTCTCTCTGTGGTGAGGTTCCTGGTTTGAATCCCTGTCTAACAGAATAGAATAAATAGAATAGAATGTCTTTATTGTCATTATACAATTGTACAACAAAAAATTTTTGGCTTCACCTTTAAAGTACACATACATACAAGCATCCACAGCTAAAAACAACAAAAGAAGAAAATTAAAAAAGGAACTCTCATTCAGGTAGGATGGGCAATGTATGGTAGGAGTTATTTACAGGTGGTAGCATAACAGAATATAAATAGATATTGCAGAAATATGAGATAAATATTGCACAGTATGAAATGTAAAATATTGCAAAAATATAAAAATAAATATATCACAGTATTAAATGAAAATTATTGCAGAAATATAAAATAAGATAAATATTGCACAGTATAAAATGCAAAATTATTTCAGAAATATAAAATGAGGTAAATATTGCACAGTATGAAATGCAAGATATTGCAGAAATACAAAAATAAATATTGCACAGTATGTGGTGAGGGTGGGACAGTCAACGCATGTCCAGGTTCAGTGTGGTTATGGCTCTGGGGAAGAAGCTGTCCTTGAGTCTGTTTGTCCATGCTCTTACAGACCTGTAGCGTCTGCCAGAGGGCAACATGTCGAACAGATGAAAGCCGGGGTGTGAGCTGTCCTTTACAATGTTTTTTGCTCTGTTCAGGCAGCGGGAGTTATAAATGTCCTTAAGTGAGGGGAGTGTGCAGCCGATGATCTTTTGTGCTGTGTTTATTACTCTCTGAAGCCCTTTCTGTCTGCTTCAATGCAGCTGGCGTACCACACTGTGATGCAGTACAGCAGCAGGCTCTTGATGGAAGAGCGGTAGAAGTTCACCAGCAGTTTCTCATTCAGGTTGTTCTTCCTGAGCACTCTCAGGAAGTGCAGGCGCTGCTGTGCCTTCTTGGTGATCTCAGAGATGTTGAGAGGTGGTCCTCTATCTGACTTTAAATTAAGATCAAATTAATCAATGCTCGTTTGTTTTGATTTGGAGTCGGGCGTGACGATTTAGGTTTAATTTGGGGTGGTAAAATACAATTCATTTCCTGAAAGGATGCATCTGATCTATACTGCATGAAACCCGGAAGTTAGTATCCATACTGAAATGTTCAGTATACTGAGGTGGACCCAAAAAATGCATACTGAATGACCACGAAAGTTTCAGTATACTGAAACTCCCTACTGAAAAGTACGTACTGCCTACTGAACTGTGGCTACTCGGAAACGGTCAGTGTTTCTTATTCTTCAGCACCTGACTTGTTTTTCACTCAGTGCCTCAGTTACACTAGATCCTGTAACCAATCAGAGTCTTCGTTCAGATCATGAGAGACAAGTGAATTAAGAAAAAAAAATTCTTAACTTGACATAACGTGACACAACTGAATAAATCCGCCCATGGAGTCCAGACCCTGGTGGTGGTGAAGCTGATGGGTGAAGATTTGATGGATGATGATTCTGTGAAGACGGGCGGTGATGGGGAGGTAGAGGGGTGCACGAGACATCAACATGAAGGAACTTAAAGCAGAGAAAGAATCATATTGAAAAGAGAAACAGGCTGACAATGAGGGAGGAAGGCCATGTGATTGGTTAGATGAGTACAGCTGAAGAGACATCTGATTATTCAATGTCAACCTCAGAGAATGATAGCAGAAACATGAGTGAGCGTGCATAAAGGGATGAAAGAGAGTAAAGCCCAATTCACACATACTCCGTGCGCGCCGCGGTCCATCAGCGCCGCGCACTACGTTGTACTTAGCTTCCACTGTAGTCTATCATTGTGTTCACACAGGGCGCGCTGCGGTCCGTCTCCGGAGCGAGCCACCGACGGCACTGCGCTCTGCTCCATTTCAAATACGCAGCAGGTCTATTTTCGCCGGAGTACGCTGCAGGCCCGTGTCAAGCTGGACAGAATATGACAGCCTGAACAGGAAGTCAGACAAGGAAACGCACAGGACATTCCAGTCAATTTCAAAATAAAACACAATATACGGACTCGCGATCGTATTATTAATCAGCAGTAGATCAGTCCACAGGAAACTGGTTGGGATGGGAACTAGAGGATATGCCAGTTCAAGTCCTGGTAGGACCAAAGTTTGGAACTGGGTCTGGTTGTTGGAGAGGTGCCAGCTCACCTCCAGAGCATTGCTGAAGTGCCGTTGATTAAGGCAGCAAACTCCAAACATGTGCAGTCACCTTACTCTGACATCCCGACAGGTTCCTCTTTGTGTGTGTGTGTGTTTAATCCTCGCCTACCTGTGTGTGCTTGTGTGTGTGTGTGTGTGTGTGTGTGTGTGTGTGTGTGTGTGTGTGTGTGTGTGTGTGTGTGTGTGTGTGTGTGTGTGTGTGTGTGTGTAGCATCTTCGAGAAAAAAATCCAGTGTAGAAACTGAACTTCCTCTGTGGGATTAATAAAGTATGTTTTCTTCTTCTTCTTGAGATATGGCAGCAGTGATGTTGATTAAACATAAATAAAGCACGTTATGAATATTAATGAAGACATTTAGCATGCTATCATAATGAATAGACATCTTTGTTGTATAAGCCGGCTGTTGCAGCTGTCACTCAAACAGCTGAAGAAGCGTCATTAAAACAAACATTTGGACATTTTTAAATCATTTTTTTATTACTTAGTAGCCTAAAGTGATTTACATTTTTAATTGATGAGGCTAAATGAGGTAACAGCAACAGCTCATACTGCCTTCCCTTTCCAGCTGCTTCCTCAGCGTGGCACTAATCACCCTCCATAGTGCATTCCTCTCATCACCGGTGGGTGGCGCTGCTGACACTGGTACCCAAGCCGTCTGTCAGTCTGTCGGTCGGGGGTGGGGGGATGTTATATTGTGGAATAGAGGGGAGAGAGAGAGAGAGAGATAGAGTGAGAGAGAGAGAGAGAGAGAGAGAGAGAGACGATCTTCCTCCCTCCTCCTCCTCTCCTCCTCCTGTGTGCGCAGCGCTCCGGCCCGGCCGCTCCTTCCTCCCTCATTCCCTCCCCACAGCTGGCTCTGTCCTCTCGGATGCTGGCTCGCCTTCTTCTTCTTCTCCTTCCTCTTCTATCTCTCGCACACACCGCGCTGGACCAAATACCTCGCAGGGTGGAGATGACCGACTACTACCTGGCTTGCATGGTCTGAATCTCGGGGAATTCGCACGTCGGAAAGGAGGGGAGTCAAGAGGGGAAAAACGGAGGCTCTCCATCCACCCGAGGGGAATTTATTTCACAGTAAGTAACATCCCCCCATCAATGTCATCCCCGTTTCCTTATTCCGCTCGTCTCACACCTCCCTCTTCGTGAATGCTTGAGAAACGCCAGAATGAGACAGCCTGCTGGGAACATGGCTGTCGGGTGTGTTTTTACACAGAGTGTGTGTGCCAGATGTTTTTCAGATTTTGGTGTCCGTTTAATCCGAGGTGTGGTGTGGATTGTGTGTGTTTTTTTTTTTTTTGTTATGATGATGCGCTAAAAGGGCTGTGGGTGCGCTCGCGCTTCTGTGGACTGAAAATGGACCCCCCCCCCCCCCCATTTCAGCTCGACTCGCCATCCATCCGTCCATCCGTCTCTCGAACAGAGGCCGGGGTATGTGGGGGACGGGTGGAGGAAGGGGGAATGGGGGCTTGAGTGGGGGGTTGGCATGTGGAAACGCGTAGTTTTGAGCTTTTTCTGCGCGGTTATCTCAGCTGACAGCGGCGCATCGTTGCTGTCTTTGTGTTGTCTTTGCAGGGCGATGCTCGTACGATCACAGTTGTTGTTTCCCTCAGCCATCATGAAGCATGTGAGCTGTATGAAGAGCACCTTGCAGCCTCTGTGCAGCTGCAGCTCCGGCCTGCCTGCTCTATGTCGATGTGTAAAAACACCCACAGTGTGATCCTCATCACCTGCGGGCTCTTTCTCCTCCCCACTGTGGACTCATTAATCCCGTTCATCTGGCTGCAGTGATCAGAGGAGCTATGTTTGAGCAGACAGCATCATAATGATAGCGTTGGTAATAGTGTGTGGGTGACCTGGCAGGAATTGGGGCCTTGCTTGAACAAGCCCCCCACGTAGCCTCACAGCGTCACTGTGGGTTCATGCCTCATTTAGAGATACTTCCTGTTTTTTGTTATGAGCTTTGGTACATCTCAGATCACTCCCAAGATGGAGGAGCTAGCGTGCCCTAATAAGAAGTTTAACATGAGGGATGTTGGGGTGTTGGGGAAGCCAGAGAGGGGGTTGGGGGGGATCCTGATAAGGCCAGAAGAGCAGAATGTGTCCCACAGTGATTTTTTTAAAATGATTATTAAGCTGGTTAGACGAGCAGCTTCCTCTTTATGCATATGGGTCATGTTGTGGCAGAGGAGAAACGTGTGTGAGGCAGCATGAGGATGGATGGACCCTGCTTTGGTTGTCATTGAGGTGTGTTCACATGGACTGAGCTGAAGAGGGGACAGCTGGGGTGGCTTTCTGGGTCTGTCAAAAATTAATAGCTATACTTTAAATCAATGAACCATTGATTGATTGTTTAGCAATGTCACTTTCAGCTGCGAGTCACTATAAAATATAAAAACCTCCATTGTCATTTTTGATTTGTTATACACAGGGCTACAGGTGGGGGGGGGGTTCTGGAGCTAGGCTGCATGAGGGGCCCATGAACAGAGACAACTTTACATTTCTGTAAAGATATTTCCACAAAGTAAATGCTGTCTTCTCTGCCATCCAGCTGGTTGACTTTGCCTAGTTACACACCTGTATGTTGACCTCCTGCTGGTCCACCTGCCCAGAAGAAGGAGAGACACAGACACAGAGCAAACACTTCGGGGGGTTTCTTGTTGTGTCGCATTTCTTGTTTTCTCCGTTTCCGTATGAGGCAAACGGAGAAAAAGCACATTTTTCCCAGTCTGAGTACTGTGTACTGCACTGTTATCCGCAGACACTGGTGTTAGCTTAGCATAAAAACTAGGAGCCTCTCTGGATTATGAAAAGGTTACAGTTTTGCCGTCTAACATCGCTAAAGCTAACATACGACCATTTCATTTCTATTTCCTACAAAATAACAAGCCAAAAAAACGACGAAATTAAGAAATTTGCTGAATTATAAAACTTTTGCTCAAACAATAGCATCCACAGTCCTGAGCAAAATGATGCTACCTGTGCAGTGTTGACTCTCAGAGGGTGAATCTTTCCTTACTTTATGACGATAAAAAGGCAAAGATAGGAAATTATCATGAATGTAAACATCTCGAGACCGCTCAGAATGTTTTTTAAAACCCTCTTTAGGGACCAAAGCCTCATGTTGAGGACCATAAACTTCTCTTTATCAGTCCAAAAAATAGATATTTATGAGAGGCGGTATTAAGACAAGCTCTTTGCTCACGGTGCGACTCGGTTAAAAAACATGACGACAGTCTCGGCTCCGTGTGCTCCAGCGTTCATTTGCTCTGCAGGAGTGAACACAAGCAGTTTACCGACTGCTACGAGCTACATTTAGCTCCAAACACGCAAACAGGTGAGACTGTTTCCGTCACACAACATTTAACTGATCCAAAGAGCTTTTCCTTGCCAGCATTACTGCGTGTGTTCCTCTAACAACCTGAGCAGCATTGCTTTACCTGCTTCTCGGGGGTGTAACAGAGACCCCCATTCTTACCCTTCTCTCATTTCTCTGCCTAATTACCAATGATTCATGCTGCATGCTGGACTGACCCTACAGCCACGTCCCTGATGGAGAGTCTGAGAAGTGCGGCTCAGAGAAAGTGTTACGAGCGAGTTCTCATCCGTCTTTAAAGAGCGGCGTCGGCTGCTGTGGCCTCAGCAGGCTTCATTAAGTTCTTATATTAAGAGGCTGATGGATGGGATGTGGACTAACACTTCATAAATTCTCACTGAGACGGATTCCAAGACGTGAAATACTGCAGCGGCCGCCCCACACCTGCAGTCTAAATAAATTGTGTTCAGAGATATGGAAGTCTAGACTCATAGAAAGTCTCCATAGAGAACTCATTAACCCCTCGACTCCTGCATGAAAACGCTCCCCCAGTATCCACATACTTCACTTTTTATTCAGTAACAACCTAGAGATGTGTTTGGTCAAAACTTTTAAGAAAGGCTTCCACAGTGAACGCTTTCACAGACGAAGGCAGTTTAGACCATTGGTTCCCAACCTGGGGTCCGAGCCCCCCTAGGAGGGCTTAGGGCGCCAAAACTCTCAGTGGTGGGAGGGGGGGAGAGGCTTTGTCTTTTCTCAGGATGTCAAGATGAGATGGCACACATTGACTAGAATCATGATAAATGCCCTGACACACAAAGGAGATCGTCGCCCTAGTTGTTGCGGCGTGTCCGTCGCTACCTGTTTTTGTCCGATTCGACATGTTGAATCGGCGTTTGTCAGCGTCGGCATGATTGGTAAGAGGAATCACTCCGCCTGCTGGCATGGAGAGTTATTTCCTCCCAGGCAATGTGCAGAACGTACATGGTGGTCTTGATGTGTTCAAGAGCAACTTTTTTGGCCAAGACAAAAGGCGACGTGAGGTGATGCCACAGTCGCCACTCGTTCTTTGCCGTCTGCTTGGTGTGTCAGGGCGTCAACACACTCACTGGATAGTTTATTGAAAGGTCTTCTTTGTGTGTCAGCCTTTTCTCTCGGGATGTTAAAATGAAACATGCAGCCTTTTTCATGTTTGTTTTGCATTTTAGGTACATTATGTATATATATATATATATATATATATATCATTCTTTCATTTTAATTTTTTTTCTGTTTGTTTGTAGAGTGGTATAGGGGGAGGGGGTACTGTTCTTCTTTGTTAACCTTTTGAATGTTCCATGTCTTCTGAAGCTACAAATAAAGTATTTAAAAAAACAAAAACAAATGGAACATGCAGAGTTTAAACCAAAAACAAAAACGTTTATCAATGGACACGATGAAATTATTCCAGTGGATCCTAGGAGGGGCTCAGATTGTCTCGGATACAATTAAGGGAGGGGGGAGCTTGTTGGGATCGACTGGCTTACACCAAATCTGACCAGGAAATCTGCTTCAGCCATAAGTCAGAAGCAGATTCATCACATATAATGTGTTGACGTTGATCTCTGAGTTATTAAAGTACTGTGCAGTGCATCACAGTCGACCTAAAAATAAGTTCTCGGCAGTGTTAGATTCAATCACTGCTCTCTCTCTTTACAATGTCTCTGAACCTACTGGTGAACGTCACACAGACCATAAAGCGCAGGTCTTTGATTCTTTATAACAATAAAATACACCTGATCACATTTAAAGAGGAAGTTCTGTTTGGTGACATTAATCATATCTCTGCTGGTTAAGATTCATTTTAAATCTGCCTTCAACCATAATTCATCGTTTAAATCCCGACTAGTGCTCTACAGGTCAGCTGATGTCATTTGAAGGTTTTCTTTCCATTAAATCTACAAAGATGGGGCTGAAAGGTTAAAGAAGTCAATTAATTTTAACAATGGCTGAAAATATGAATATAATGTTGTTTTAAATACATAAAAAACACAAACTGGACAATTCATTGGCAGAGTTCAAAGGTCTCTGCAGGTTGTAAAACAGGATGGATCTAAATGCTTCATATTAACGTTATGTAAATCAACCTTACTCTTGTGGTTATCGTAGATCAAGTACATCTACAACCCCTCTGTAATGTCATGACATCATCAACAAACACACACACAACAGAAGGACACAAAAGAGAGAGAGAGGCCTTGGCTTGAGTTATTGTAGTTTATTTTATTTTGGATCATTTTAATCTGGATTATGCAAACAACAAATATCCCGACTCCCCCGAGAGAGAAGTCAGTTTTCTTAACGTTAACTCAACAGATAATAAACACCACAAAAAAAAAACACACCATAAGCACTTTAAAGGCTTTTTCAGGTTTAACAACAACATGTTTATAATTCATTGATAAATCTGTAACCACGATTTAAAAGCTCAACTAGGATCTAAATGATTTTCTTTGTTGGGACTCTTTCTGGACGGTTGTGGATCAGTGTTGATCGTCTCTCATTTGGAAGGTCGGGGGTTTCGATCGCCAACTCCAAGTCATTTAATATCTTCTTAAAGTCATCCAATCAGAGCAGCTCGTTAATTGAGGCCGTCTACAACTCTGACCAAACCAATGAAAGGTGCATTCACATATATTCTCAGAATCTCTGAGTCATACTGTCGACTCCGCTGGTCATTCATTGACTTTAATTGAGGCGCCCCCTCCACGTTAGGGAGGTT